AAAATAGAGTTTTCCTCAGATTTATTTGAGATACACTAAGAGGCAATATTCCTTAGTGAGGTTTAATGATTTTTGTTTGTTACACTAAGAGGAGATGTTCCTTAGTTAGAGTCATTTGTTCTTACTAAACTAAGAAGGTTTACCTAAGTTACAATTTTTGCTAATGGCGATACTTATAAGATAAGTGACGCTTTACACTTTGCCATGTATTTTATGAATATCATTGTTTTAATTCAAAACGTGTACATATAAAATAATTTAGGATGTTCATTAGCAGGTTTCTTTTTCAACATGATTTTTGTCATTTCACTGTTACATGTATAATGAGGATTTTATAGTGAATGTCATCTATATAACAAAAAAAATTAATAAATTAATATTTTTTAAACGGGAGCAAGGGCGTATAACAGTGAAATATTGGTAGATTGTATCTTGGGAGTGTGTGTGTATTGCATCAGGGAGACAGTGGCTGTGCGCATGCGAGAAAGGAACAAGAGAGGACAGGCGAGAAAATGGCTAGGTCGGTGTGGACACGATGCCCGTGTTAAACTAAATAAATATGAAAACTTGCAAGATGAAGGCTTGTCTTTTGATTTTCTATATGTAATATAAAAGGTAGGAGAAAGGCCTGTGACAAGTTTATATCGTGAACCCAGTCACACAAAAAGCCTGTGACAGCATGATTAATTGAGACAGGATTAAAATTGATTATCCCCTGTAATGTATAACTAACACCCTCTAATTAATTTCATAACCTTCGAGTTTTTACACGATAGATTCGGTTGGAATAACGTTCAATCAATACGAAGATAAATATATCTCTATATATATATATATCACCGTAGACCGTGTCGCCCATGATTAATGCACCCTATTTACTTTTAAGCATCCCAATACGATCTATTCCTGGCTGCTCTAATATCTTTTGTAATGTTACTCTAAACATGTTTTACCACGCGAACACCAGATCTTGTTTTTTTATTCATTGTAATTGTTAATTTATTGTGTAGTTAATTGATGTTGAAGAAATGAATAAGTAGTAGCATAGTGATTTTAAGGTGTCTTTAAATAGTGTAAAAGCAATTACATTCTGAAGTCGACAGAGATTAAAATAAGTCCTTCTTAGTTTTTGATGAAACTATCATTAAATCACTTGAGTACCGAGTTTTGGATTGTTTTGGTTACAAATAATTCAGCGTGAACAACTAGAAATCTTCGATTCTGTGTACTCAGAAATTTAACGAAGATCTTTGCAGCTGCAGCAAATTAAGACAAAGTTAGGATTTCTCACCCATATTGACTTTTTGAATAATTCTGGTAACAACTCTGTGAGTAAATTATTGATGATAATATTTCTAACGAATTCCGACATTTTCTTTGTTATATTCAAAGTTTCTAGGAAACCACTGACCAAAAAATCTAACAATTGGAAACCTTCGGACATTTTAGATGTACAAATGGGGATTTGCTGCATGTCTTTCCAACCTTACCATAGAACGCCGGATATTTTTAACAATTAGCGTCAAATTCACTTGCTGCGAAAGGTGTTTTTCAAAATTTAAATTAAATCGTATTTAAGGTCTTCCATGAGCAAGACAGGAATAAACTTGGTAATTTAGTCAATAGAAAGACACCAGGCTGAAACAATTAGTTGTGATGCTTGTAATCATCCACAACTTTGCTGTCAAAAAAGCACCCAAAATAAATGTATAGGTGATGTATATCAGACCAAAAATATACTATCTCACAAAAATAAAATATAACTTAATTTTTTTGATAATTTTAATTTTAATTTTATAAGATTTTCTGTACAAGAGCCTGATTTTACAGCTAATTATAGTCATTAATGTGTTGAACAGTAATTTGATGAAAACGAGACATTATTATTTTATTAAATTACCACCATAAAACAAAAGTTAAAAAAAAACAAAGCTCACCAGACTGGTCGGTGATCTTTTCTAGATAGTCCCCCCCCCCCCTAATGTTATTGAATATACAATCTCTTGAGTGATAGGTAACATTTGATCATGTTATCGCCCCTTAGTTTCTATACCGTTTAATTAATTTTAATGACTAATTTGACATTTATATAAATTTAAATATAGATATTCATGCATTGTCCGAAAGATGAAGCTACCTGGAAAATTTGAACGAAATCGCTGCATTAGGAGTTAGTCAAATTTAAGCTACAATATTTGCCACAAACCGAAAAACGGACGTTGTGAACTTAGGAGAAGCTTGTAAAAGTAAGATTAAAATTACAATTCATTTTTCAGTCATAAGGGTGGCACTTTGGATCACCGGCCCGGCGGCACTTTCTCTGCATTAAATCCTTAAAATGTAGTAAATTCTGCAGCTTGCAATATGTAGCAAATAAATGCAGCTTATTCGATCTTAGTTTTACTTATATTTAAAAGTTTTGTCACTAATAACTTACCCACAAGAATTTCTCATGTTAAGACCATTTGGCTCTTTTGTGTCTAATTTTGTTATATACTTCTGCTCTTCTTTAAACTCGTTTTCATTATCTTTGCAGTAATGCAGGACACAAAATCTGAAATCTTCTATACTGTGAACTGCTTCAAAATGTTGGCATAGCAATTTATTTGGTTGTTTACGCTTTTTAAAATCGTCCATATGTTTATTAATTCGAATAAAAATATTTTTACTGGTACTTCCTACGTATTTGATCTTGCAATGATTGCAGTATATTAGGTACACTAAATGCTCGTTACAAGTAGAAAATATTTCGTTTTTCCTTATGCCTAAACCACCAAAGTCATCATACCGGATACATAACTCCTCTCTGTGTTTAAGGTTGTATTTTATTTCTTTTTGTACTTTGAGAGAAAAACACACATTTTTAACTTGTTCAATCGTATTTGTAGGAACCTGTAACAATTAAAAAAAATAAATAGCATTTAAAGTTAAATTTTAAATTTATAACTGAATATTGTAACGCAAATTCAAATTTAATTTTTAAAATGTTTGCGTTTTTAGTTATATGTGGGCTATTTTTATGTTTACTTGCTTGTATGTTTTTTTATTTGCTTTGTTTGATGGTTTTATTTATGTCTATGCATGCTTTAGTTAAATATTTTGATTTTCAGCCTGTATCAATGAACCTTTATGAGAATGAACAATAATGATAATTTTGAAAGAGAGGACGGCGTGGCAGACCAGGAGAACTCATGGTTGCTAACTCAACATTTCCAAGTTCAAACTACTGAAGAGAAGCAGCCATTTAGCATTTGACAGCAACCCATCTAGAAGAGAAAACCCAAAAATCAAACAAATGTTGCCTTGCATAACGTTCTTGTGTTAGACAAACAGGATATATGGTTCATACAAGTTAATGATTAATACTTAATAGTTTTGGAGAAAATAACCTTCAATTTTACCATTAAGACAGAAGAAGAATAATCTATGTGAGGGTGATTCTAATAAAAAAGAAAACTAAGGAATACATGGAAAGGATTGGCAAAATTGACAAATTTAACACTGTTTTAAAAAAAATTATAACCCTAAAAATCAAATTGCTAAATATAAATCTACTCTATTACTATTAAAAAATCTATCAATTAAGAGAAAATATAAAAAATAGTGTACTGGAATTTATGTTGACTATCCCGCTTTTAATTATTTTTTTTTGAATGTCCGATACATTGGTTCAATATCAAAAACACTTTAAATATAAACATTTTAAAAAATAAAAGTAAAACATTCAATAACAAGCTTTTTATAAATGTTATTCACACAAAAAGTAAGTTATTTTCTTAAAAATGTATATAAATGCACCTCTGTTTAAATGATTTTGTAGTAAAAACGGTGCACAGTCAAAACGACCCGGGACAAAACGGCCCGTAAAAATGGCCGCGACTTATTAAAGTAAGTAAAGTTTCCCTTTCAAACCTGACGGTCTATGGGGCAAGTGAAGTAGAGTTCACTTGTTTCTGTGACCTCGGCATATGAAGAGATAGTGTTGTCAGCACTATGCCCAGCCGCCTTTACTTTCCCTAATGTGAGTTAGATACCCATCAGAGTTGGGTGGACTTAGGGACGGTCTACTGACTTGAACCCGGATTCGAACTCGAGACTTACGGGTTAGCAGTCAAGCTCTCTACCGCTAGACCACTTTGTCCCATTCCCGACTTATTGGCTCCCAACATAAGGGCTCACAACAAATGGGCTCCCGACTAATTGGCTTCCGACAAAATGACTCCGACATATTGGCTCCAGACAAATGAATCGTATGACCACTATTGGCATAAAACTAACCGTTTTGTCCTACCTCCACTATCACTATAGCCTCTTATAAATGCCAAATTAAAATTGTTTTTCATGAACCAACATCAGTTCACTAACAAATCGAGTCCTTAACAGCTAAATTCCACCAATTCTAAAGTTTTGATAATGTTTAATTTACAACAGTAAAGAACTGTTGCTTAGAAGCGAGCACAGAAGTGTAAATGTATCATATACATGATGTTTACATGATAAAGGCATTTTGTTTTGATAACCTACTAGCATTATGTAGGTAGGAATGTACATCGTGGAACCCTCTCCCCACACACTGAGTTGGAACAGCCTATAACCGACTAATTTATGGAAGTCATAGATAAATGACCCTTAAATTAAAACATACTATTTCTTATTACAGATAAACTACTATAAAAGTAAGGCTTGCCGAACAAGAGATGCATACGTTATAATACTTAAGAGTGTTAGATAAGCTAACTCTAAAGATTATTGATGAAGGGGTCTCACTGGCAGGCGTCATAATTAATAAGACAGTTTTGCAGGGAGACTTAGTCTCTACGGAAACCATATAGTCATTTGTCCTTTTGTCGGGAGCCACATTGTCAGGAGCCTATTTGTAGGTCGCCTATATGACGAGGTTTCTATGCCTGGGCCGATTTGTTGAATTCGTTTTGACGCCGCACGAGTAAAAACCATCACTTATACTTAGAATGCAAGATTTATAAAATACAAAATGAAAACTATAAATATGTCATTACAATACTTACATTTATGATTTCACAGTTCTTTTCTTTTAGTTTTTGTTCTGTGTTTGTATGCTTTTTACAGTTTTTATACTTTTGTAATGTTGCAAAATGTAATGCATTAAGCCCTGTTTTTGTCACTGCATTTATTTTAGCGTTATTGTTAAGGAGAATGTCAACAACATTTGTGTGTCCATTTTTCGAAGCTAACATTAAAGCCGTACACTTATTCTTTTTATTTACTCTATTAACACTGCAGCCTCGATTTATTAGGGTTTCAACAATAGGTTCGTATCCATTCTGACAAGCAATCATTAGCGCGTTATAGCCAGTAATCTCAACCGCCTCTAAACTTATTTGTTCTAATTCTTCTTTAACGTCATTATCATCTTCGTTTCGTTCCACATCTTCATCATTTTTATTATCTTCACCATCTTTTTCATCTTCTTCTATATCATCGTCTTCTGTATCATCTTCTTCTGTGTCATCTTCATCGTCATCTTCTTCTGTATCTTCTTCATTATATACATCATTTTCTTCATCATCATCTTCTTCTTCTTCTACTTCTTCCTCTAACATATGTTTTAATGTAGTTATTTTTCCTTTCTGGGCGGCTAACATTATTGCGTTCCACTTGCCGTTTTCCACATCATAAATCTTCGAATATGGTACCAATAGCTTTACACACTCGTCATACCCATTCTGTGAAGCTAGCATTAATGCAGTATATCCACCCTTGTTTTTCTCAGTAACAAGTTCTTTTCTTTGTGCTATTAATTTTTCTACGATTTTTTCGTGTCCTCGCTCAGCGGCAATCATTATAGCATTCCATCCATCTTTATCTTTAACATCTACTGTAGCATTTTTACCTAGTAAAACATCAACAACTTTCTCATGCCCCATGTGACAAGCAGACATCAAAGCTGTCCAACCATCTGTTTCAACTTCGTCAATGTTCTCAATACGTTTTATAAGTAGTGACACAATTTGGTCATGTCCTTTCTTGGAAGCTATCATTAAGGCATTGCATTGTTGTTTCTCAACAGCATTAACAGAACGGCCGTATACTAGTAAACTTTCTACTATTTCTTTGTGCCCTTCATGGCATGCTATCATTATGGCATTCCGTCCATAACTTTGAACATCGTAGACATTGGCTTTATTTGTTAGTAATAAATGTACAATAGTCTTGTGTCCGTTTTGCGAGGCTAACATTAATGCACTCTATCCATTAATATCATAATTATTTACAGTGCTCCCACCTTTTATTAGAAGCTTGACAACTGTCTCTCTTCCATATTTTGAAGCTATCATTAATGCTGTTCTACCATTGTTTTCAGTGCTTGTAACATTACTTCCATTATGTATTAATGTATCTACTATTTCTTCATGCCCGACTTGTTAAGCTATAATTAAAGCAGTGTGCCCTAGATTGTCAAAAGCGTTTAGTTTAATATCTGTTATTTTTATTAAATGGTGAACTATCTCTGTGTGTCCATATTTTGAGGATAACATTAATGCACTCCATCCATTTCCATCAACAATATTTACATCAGCTTCACTTTTTGTTAGTCGGTTAGCTACTTCAGTGTGTCCATGTTTAGAGGCTAACATTAATGCAGTCCATCCATTACATTGAACTGCGTTTATTTTAGCCGTTTTTCGTAACAGTAGGTCAACAACATTGGAATGTCCATTGTAAGAGGCCAACATTAGTGAGCTCCAGCCCTCACACTGAACTTTGTTTACTTCAGCCCCGTTTTTTAATAGAATTTCTACAACTTCAGAGTGACCGACTTCGGACGCTAACATTAAAGCATTCAAGCCATCAATATTAGATTGTTTTAACTGGCATCTGTTTCTAATTAAAACAGTAACAACGTTGTTTTTACCATTTGAAGATGCTAGCATTAATGCAGTCATTAGGGTTTTGTTAACTGCATTTATATTACTTCTTTCTATCAAAATTTCAACCGCATTGTGGTGTCCATTTTCCGATGCTAACATTAATGCGGTACATCCATTTATATCCGCCATGTTTACTTCAGCTTTACTTGATAGAAGTGTTTTTATACTTTCACAGTGTCCATTTTCCGAGGCTAACATTAATGCGGTACGTCCATATATTATATCCGCCATGTTTACTTCAGCTTTATTTGATAGAAGTATTTTTATACTTTTACAGTGTCCATTTTCCGAGGCTAACATTAATGCGGAACGTCCATATATTATATCCGCCATGTTTACTTCAGCGTTATTTACTAGAAGTGTTTTTATACTTTTACAGTGTCCATTTCCCGAGGCTAACATTAATGCGGTACGTCCACATATATCCACCTGGTTTACTACAGCTCCATTTTTTATAAGTTTTTTAATACCTTCAGTGTCTCCATGTTTAGATGCTAACATTAATGCAGTGGATTTATTATCATCAACCTGATTTATTACTGCTTTGCTTTTTAAAATGTTTTCTATAGCTTCCTTGTCATCATTATTGTATGCATCTATTAAAAAGTATAATTCCTGATTATTCTCCATACTATATTTCGCTACGGTGAATATGGTTTTTGCAAATCACCTTTCAATATTTCACAATAATTGTATTTTTACATTGTTTTTAATAACTTATTTCTATCCACATGTGGTGATCTCTCTTATATGCAAAATAAATGTTACCCAAAAAACGATCAGATCCGGAATGTATGTGTCAATTACTGATAAAAACATCACCTCTATTCAACATTTATTACGCTATTTGAAAAATCTGAGCAAGTGTGTATAAGTTGGCGTCAGGCGTTTGTTTCTTGTACCAATATTAACGAATGGTTAGAGGCCTATACCATTACTATTGGTTGAGTCATCAAGTCGTTATTTTTATCTGTAATAAACAAAAATATGTAAAGTAAAAATAAAAGTATATAAAATAATTCAGAATTCATATTCTGAGAAACAGAGTTTCCGCTGATATTGATATTATCGGATTCTGTTTCATTTATTAAAAACAGAGTTTCTTCCAGGCATCTCTCCTGGAAGTCTACCGCCCCCCTCCCCCCCCCCGAACGAAATGAAATTTATATAGAAATATATACTTTTAACAGTGTCCGCCCCCCCCCCCAAATAAAGTCTACCGCCCCACCCCCGAAAAATTCAAGAGCCCCCACTCCCCCCGGAAAAAATGTCTGGAAGAAACACTGATTAAAAACAAAGTTGTTTCTGAAATATATGATAATACTACTAGAAGGTGTGTTGATTTCCGAAATAACTATAGTGATCTGTGGTCCAGCAAATTTGTCTAATTGTCAAATACAATCTTCTCGCAAAGGTTGATACTTGACGTCTGCCGACAGAAACTATGGCATTTATATGTGATAATGGGTTACCCTCAGATGGGGCAGCCGCCTAGTGCTCCGACCAAAAACAGGGGGGGGGGTCGCCTAATTGGGTAGGACAAAATTGCAAAGCTTGGTCTGAGCTGCATTACTGAATTATGCACAGTCAAAGATAAGACAATATACTGCTTCTTGGCTTTACGATCTTATTAAACTGTTTTCTAAATAAGATGTGTGACACCACTATTAAAACTGGGGGAGGGGTGGGGGTGGAAAATTGATAGTTCTCACCGGGCGCAGAAATGGGACGCTACGCATTTGGGTTAATCACGTCTGTGTACGCACCTCTTGAAGACTACATTATTAATCTATGGGGAAACAATCAAGGCGAGTAGTTTTTCCCACATGTATCCGTATATTAAATACTAGTGAATCAATCTTATTTATTTAAATATTCTTAAAATTTGTCCTTTTAACCACACTTAACTCGTAATTTCGATTATGTTGTAAATTTTATTTTCACGTATAAAACGAATGTTGTGGGTAACTGAAATATGTCTTATTCTTGTATTCCATAGTCTTGGTTGAGGTGCCACTGATTATCTTTCTCCAGTTCTAATTCTACTCTGACATTATCAGCGCCTTTGTCAGTATTATAACTGTGAACTCCCCGACGATTTTACTGTTTTTCGTTTACCTGGTACTTCAATAGACGTGCCTATGTTTTGATGCTATTATCAGCAAGTCTTCTTTCTGACGCATCGACATCCTAAACTGTTAATGAAATACTGCTATTTTAGATTCATAAAATTGTGTCTCACACTGTCAAATGTAAGTGCTGAATAACTGGGCCTACAACCTTACCCTTTTGTCTTTTTGCCTCCGATTACTGCCCTTAGATAAATTACTCCCAAAGCAAATACTACTACTCTCTCTATATATATTTATACGGAAACCGGCTCAGAAGTTTGACTTCCATTAGCCAGGCAGGCCTCAGTGTAGCAAACTCCGACACATGGTGGTAGTAGCAAGTCGTTTAGTGTCGGTTTGATCGCTACACGTCGGTCGCTTCTCCGTCGGCTCTCATCGGGCTTTCCTTACCCTCCCACCAGACGCGGGACGTCGTCATACCGCCTGGTACCCAGCTTGATCGTGGGGGGGGGGGGGGGAGGGCGTTCGGCCAGATCAAAAGCCAGGCAAATACTACATGTCAAAGTAATTGATCGCTGAGGTCGACGATGCCAATTATTAACAATAAAAAAAAAATTCACACATATGAATAATTGTAACACTAACACACCATATAGGTATATGTGATAGACTGTTAGCAAAATTGCGTCTAGCTAGTTCTCCCCTTCTGCTATTGAATACAGTAATTTATCGAGTGATTTATTGTTGTTATCTCACCTTAGTTTCGAAACCGTGCAATCAATTGTTAATGAATAATTAAACATCTAATTAAATTAAAAAATACATGGACTGCTGAAGCGTAATTGGAAAGTTTGAACAAAATCGCTGCATTAAAAGTGGGCGATAATTGAGTTACAAGATTTGTCACAAACCCACAAACAAACAAACAGATGTTGCGAACACACAAAAAATAGTTTGTAACAACAATAATCTGTATATGAATTCAAAGACAGTATAATGACAAAAAATCAGCACACATATTTTACACGCTTGGAACATAACTCATAACGCATTAAGGGATAAGTAAGTAAACTTTTTCTAGACAAGTAAACTATACACGCTGTGTAAGAGCGCAGTGCTATAAAAAGGCAAATGTATGAAAGAACATTAGAAATTAAAAGCTTTTTCAGATATTAGATTCGTGAAAAGAAGGGGAAGACGTTACAATCCTTTAAAAAGATGAGTAACAGAAAAAAAAATCTGAGCCATGCACTTTTAGGTTCAGGCCCTTGCAAAACGCTTTAAGTTACATAAAACATTTGGCACATTAAAAAATAATATTATCATCCTCTTTTCCAGTTCGTGCCCAAAACGCATGGGGTAGATGAAGTAGAGTTCATTTGTTTCAGTAGCCTCTGCATACAGCGGATAGTGTGGTCAGCACTATGCCTAGTCTCATTAGTTTGCTTTACGTGAGGCAGATACTCATCAGAGCTGGGTAGACTCAGGGTCGTTTTACAAATGGAGAATGGACATTTTTGGATTAGCAGTCGTAAACTCCACCACCGGACCATACAGTCCCTTGAAAAAATCTATCAAGCTAGAAAGTATTTTATTTTATAAGTTTATTTTTATGTTACATTTTTTTACACTTATTTATCGATTTAGGAGTATAGCACCCTTTTCTCACAGCTAATATTTCACAATCAATCAAAGACCTTTGTCGGATTCAGAATCGATAATTAAAATGTATAAGTATATACTGAGTGAAGTAGTGTTTTTGTATAACTCATAACTAATGGAAAGCAGCAAAACGTTTAAGTAAGATGGCCCTTGCAAATACAACTCTGAAGAGAAAACATTTTGCAAAAGTACCATCCGGAGTAAAGCTATATTACAAAACGAAAGATAGAATTAGCTAAGAAGCCCTAGTCATGCTACAACTGGCAATGAGCGTATTATTTCTTTCTAACACCCCTGTATGTTGCAGGCAGTTCAGCGTACCGTAAAATTTAGAAATCCAACGTTGAATGGTTATTTCCTGATTTGTCTCTCATTGATCTAAGATTTACTTGCTGCCACGATTAAAGCAAAAAAAAGGAGAATGTTAATGGTCAAACGCGTTAGCGTTTGGTATTTTGTGCTAAGTGTTGTGTT